CAAAGGTGTGCTATTTTCTGTATCTTTGCATGTTTGATATTCTTAAGTGGATTCCAGATATTGTCAATATTCTCTCATTAGAGGCTGGTGTTTTTATATTTCTTTAAATATCCTCATCTTTGTACTTGGATGTAATTAAGTTACTTAGAAATAGTGGGCAGAATTTATACATGGAATATGGGGTGTCCTCTTTCTGGCTGTCTCCTTTCCAGGATTCCTCTCTCACTTTCTAGTAGCAGCAGTTGTTGTGAACTATGTTCTTTGGTTCTGCAGGCCAGAAAGACTGTGGGTTTTCTGTTGTACTTTAGCTGCTTATGGCCTGTTCTTAGATGAAAAGGTATTGACTCCTCTCCAGAATCTGCTTGAAGATTTTGTACGTTCTCCATTGCCTTCACATAGTTGATTTTTGTGTTTTGTCCAAAGTCGGTGCTTGTTATTTGTGGAAGGGTCTGTCTGTAGGAGCTTGCTTGGCCATTTGAAAGCACAATTTCCTAAAGGACATTTTGCATCTAATTTTGTATTGAAAAATTATCATGAAGCCAATTAAATTATCATGGGGGATTATTTTTTTTCCAGGAAAGGTCATACAAATGAAATGACTGACTTGGTACAATTGATGACTCAGACCCTAAAATTGGACTCTAAAGAGAGCTTTGAAGATCCCCCAGTGGCAGATCCAGTGTCAGAATTTAAACTTCATCGGAAGTATCGGGACACGCTGCTACTTCATGGGAAAGTTGCAGAAGAGACAGAAGAATTCCATTTTAAAGAGCTACCCTTAGGTGATCACTTTACTCTTTTACAGCAAACTGGAGATCATATGTTTATTAGAGAAATGTGTCCAATCAAGGAGCTAATAATGCTTACAATTTTTTTTTGTTTTTTTTATTTCTCTTGGATATATCCATAAAAGGTGTATCTTGTTTCATATAACAATTGTGTTCCTGAGAAACTGCATGAAATTTTTCCAAATTGAAGGTTTGTGGCAACCTTGCATTGATCTAGTCTATTGGCTCCATTTTTCCAACAGACTCAGATGATGGCTAGCGTTTTTTAGCAATAAAGTATTTTTTAACTAAGGTATATATATTGTTCTTTTTTGTTTGTTTGTTTTTCTTTTAACTTATAAGAGTTTATTTTAGCCAAACTGATGACAATTGCTGGGAAGCAAAATCTCATCGGATTTGGAAAATGCTCCCTATACACTGTTTTTTACAAAAAACTTCATTGAGGAACAGTTTGTTCATTCCAGGACCCATGAGCTCCATTTCAAGTCATTGTTTTCAATCTAGTTGTGGAGGTCGCAGTGACCTACCCATGTGGGAATCGAAATGGCAACCTTGGTGTTAACAGCCTGTGCTCTAACCACCTGAGCCAACCGGCTGCCCTATACATTGTTTTTTAAAACAAAATGCTGTAGGGGGCCGCTGGTTAGCTCAGTTGGTTAGAGGGCAGAGCTCATTAAACCTAGGTTGTTGGTTTGATCCCCACATGGGCCACTGAGTTGCACCCTCCACAACTAGATTAAAACAACTACATGACTTGGAGCTGATGGGTCCTGGAAAAACACAATCTTCCCAAATAAAACTAAAAAAATAAAAATAAAAATAAAAATAAAATTGCTATAAATGCCTAACCACTATGCTTTACATCTAAAACTAATATAATATTGAATGTCGATTATAAGTGAAAATTAATCAAAAATATGTAATGCTATTGCACACTTATTAAACTATAGTATAGTGTAAACATAACTTTATATGCACTGGAAAACTAAAAAATTTGTGTGACTCACCTTATCGAGGTAGACTCAAACTTGCAATATCTCTAAAATATGCCTGATTACATTTTTGGTCATTAAAAATACATGAAGTCATTAATCGAAACTCTTGTCAAAGTGAAAAGAATTTTAACATGACAAATTTTTCTTTTTAAACACTGCATGCATTTTTCTTGCTGCAGTGGTAAAAGTGATTATTTTTCCTTGTCTTTGTTACTGCTTTTTAGTTATCATGCCAGGTTCTGAAAAGATCAGAAGAATAGTTGAAGTCTTGAGAGCTGATGTAATCCAGGGCCTGGGAATTCAGCTTTTAGAGCAGGTGTATGATCTTTTGGAAGAGGAGGATGAATTGGAGAGAGAGGTGAGTATTCTATTAGCTATGTCAGCTGCTTATGCTATAGAATTTTTTAACAGCCTTTTGAAATATAATTAACATGCTATGCATTTTACCCATTTAATGTGTACAGTTCAGTGGTGTTTAGTATGTTCATAGTTGTACCACCATCACCACGTCAATGTTAGAACATTTAATTACCCCCTAAAGAAACCCTGAACCCATTGGCAGTTCCTCATTATTCCTGAAGCCCTCCACCCGTAAGCAAACACTAATATTTCTGTCTCTATAGATTTGCCTATCCTGGCTATTTCATTTAAATGGAATCATACAAAATATGTGGTCTTTTGTGATTAGCTTCCTTTGCCAAGCGTCATGTTTTCAGGATTCATCCATGTTGTAGCATGTATCACGTACTTCAGTCCTTTATATGGCCAAATAACAGTCCGTTGTATGGCTATACCACGTTTTGTTTATCTGTTCTTCAGCTGATGGAAATTTAGATTGTTTCCACTTGTTGACTATTATGAATAGTGCTACTATGAACATTTATGCACCAGTTTTTGTGTGGACATATATTTTCATTTTTCTTGGTTATGTACCTAGGGGTGGAAATGCTGAGTTATATGGAAAGCCTGTGTTTACATTTTGAAGAATGGCCAGGCTATTTTCCAAAGTGGGTGCACAATTTTGCATTCCCACCAGTAATGTGCGAGGGTTCTAATTTTTCCACATCCTTGCCAACACTTGTTATTGTCATCATTGTGATTATAGCCATCCTAGTGGGTGGGGAGTGATTTCTCATTATGGTTTTTGTTTGTTTGTTTTAAGATTTTTATTGGGGAATTGGGGGGGATGGGAACAGTGCTGGGGAATTGGGGAAGGGGAACAGACAAGTTGCTGTCGTTTTGTTCTTCAGTCTAGTTGTGGAGGACGTTGCTTCACTGGCCCAAGTTGGCACCATCATTGCGCTCTTCCCGGATGAGGCAGATCAGTCGCCGGCTTCTGGACGGCCACTCACGCTGGCTGCTGGCTACATGCGGTAGCCCATGGCAACCCACTGCCACAGGGGCTGCAGCCTACTCGGTTGCCCGTGACTCTCCGCCGCCCAGCTCCAGGTTGAGCTGCTGTTCAGCATCTTAGCTGTGGAGGGCAGTGTCACTGGCCCTCATATGTGGGATCCGAACTTGTGCCCTCTGGCGTCCCAAGCCAGTTCTTAACCATCGCGCCACTCGGCCGGCCCTCATTATGGTTTTGATTTGCCTTTCCCTAGTGGGTAATGAGTGTGGATGGAGTATCTTTCATGCGCCTATTGGCCATTGTATATCGATTTTGGAGACATGTCTATTTTGATTTTTTTACACATTTTAAAATTATTTATCTTTTTATTGTTGACTTGTACAATTTCTTTATATATTCTGAATAGAAGTCCTTTATCAGATACGTGATTTGCAAAAATGTTTTCCTATTCTGTGGTTGTTTTTAGTGGCATTGTTTATAGCACAAAACATTTTAATTTTGTTGAAGTCTAATGTATCTAATTTTTTTGTCACTTGTGCTTGTGGTGTCATATCTAAGAAGTCTTTGCCTAACTAACCTAAAATCACAAAGATTTATTCCTATGTTTTCTTCTAAGAGTTTTATCATTTAAGCTCTTAAAATTAGGTCTATAATCCATTTGGGGTTAATTTTTGTCTTATGTAAGGAAGGCCTCCAATTTCATTCTTCTGTATGTGAGTATCCAGTTGTCCTAAGTGCCATTTGTTGAAAAGACTATTCTTTTCCTAATGATATGTCTTGGCACCCTTGTTGAAAGTCATTTGACCCTAATGTAAAGGTTTATTTCTAGACTCGATTATATTCCACTGATTTATATGTCTATCCTTTGCCCGTACCACACTATCTTTATTACTGTGACTTTGTAGTAAGTTTTGAAATCAGGAAGTTTGAATCCTCCAACTTTTCTCTTCTTTTTTGACATGATTTTGGCTATTATTTGTATTTCCATGTGATTTTTAGGATCAACATTTTAATTTCTGTAAAAATGCCAGCTGGGATTTTGATTAGGACACTATAGAATTTTGTTTTGAATAAATTTTAGTTTCATTCAGCAGACTTTTCTCCTTAAATTTACTGTTATTATACTAAATATTTTCTTTTTGAGAAATTCATTATATATGTTACCAGATTTGAAAGTAATAAAGCATGTTTATGTAACACAATTTTATACTAATTTAAAAAAATTATTTATTGTCTTTCTTTACCTGAATAGAAAGCTAATAATACATGATTGTTGTAGAACATTTAGAACATATTTTTCAAAAAATCAGTATAATCTTAGTACTCAATGATTCCAGATTTTGTTCTATCATTTCATAAATAGTAGTAGTAGTTACACTTAAAAAGTGCAATGCAGTGTTCTAAGCACTTTTTACATGTATAATATTTAAATCTCCAACAATCCAGTGAAGTTGGTACTGGTATCCCCATTTTATAGACGAGAACGCCGAAGCACAGACGGGTTAAAGGAGTTGCCAAGATCTCACAGATAACACTTTGCTGGACAACTGGCCTTCAGCACAAACAGTCTGATTCCAGAGTCTATGCTCTTAACCACCGTTCTATACTGCTCTCTTATTTGTTACTGCACTTTTTAAGTTCAGAATTTCCATTTGGTTCTTTTTATAATTTATTTCTTGTTATCACTATTTTCTATGTGATATGACATTGTCATCATGCCTTCCTTTACTTCTGCGATCACAGTTTTCTTTAGTTCTGTGAACACGTTTATAATGGCTACTCTGATGTCTTTGTTAAATCCAACATCTGGTTGTTCTTACGGGCAGTTTCTGTTTGCCTGCTTTTTTTCCCCCCAGCGTATGTGTCATACTGTCCTGTTTCTTTGCATGTCTCATAACTTTTTATTGGAAACGACATTTTAGAGAATATGTTTACAACTCTGGGTACTGGCCTCCTGTGTGTGGGGGGGGAATCATTGTTATTTATTTGTTTAGTGATTGGCTTATTTTAGTGAAGTTATTTTCTCCTTTCTCCACAATGTAAAGCCTCTGATGTTGTGCCTCAGTGGGCGCAGCTTTGGGCATGTCCACAGCCACCTTGGCATGACAGTGGGTTTGGGACTTGACTTCCTTTCCCTGACGTCACCCAGCTGTTAAGGCTTTTTAGTTGCCAGCTGATTGCTCTGCTGTTTTCAATAATGTCCCTGGGCATACATTGCTCCACGGACTAATCCAGTCAAATTTGGGCTCCTTTGAAGGCATAGTTCCCAAGGTCAATGTTTGAGATTTGTTCTGACCCCAGGGGAGCTCCTTCCAGCTTCTTGTTTCTTTCCATCAACGTAGCCTACAATTTAGCCTTTATGTCCAGTGAATCTACCCATCTCCCAGTTACCTTTCACTACTTTTGATTTTGAAAGCGCCCTTAGGCTTGAATTTTTCCATAGTTTGTTCCAAATGAAGTCAGTTCATTTAGTAAAAGATTTGGTGCTATTTTATGTCTTGCTTCTCCTCCCAGGCAAAATCTCTGACCAAAGCTCTGGAGCTGGGAGTGAGGACCATATAGCATGATTGTTTTGGGGTGATACCCCCACTTTAAAAGCTTAGTGGGGGTGAGGGGACTGTAGCCTCTGGTCTTCAAAGAATCCTTCACTCAGCATGGAATCATCACTTTTCAGTCTGGGGCAAAGGTGAATTGGGACCCCAGTATTTTCAGTGGCCCTGCACCCAAGGTACAGCCTCCATCCTACAAGTCCAAGCTGGGCATAAGAAGGAAGCTTCCATCAAGAGGCTTCACTCTTCCAAAACTTATCCTTAATAGGCATTGGTGTAGGATGAGATATTCTGATGTCCTGCCTCTACCAGGACAATAACTTTTGTACTGGGAGCTGGGGGGAAGGGACCCCTGTTTTGTTGGCTTCATCAGTCTGGTGTAGTTTTTGTCTGAGCCTGGGAGTGGGGAGGGAGGCAGCTGATCATAGTTCAAATACCACAGACTCTCACTATTCTTGAGCTTTAGATTTTCTTGAAAAAATGTCTTTATTTGCTGTATGTCCTTAGGATCATTCCAGAGACTTTAAAATGGTTGGTTTTTAAAATATTCCCGTTTCACTAAGGAGGGGTCTGCAGAGCTCCTCATACTGTCATGCCAGATGTGGAACCAATTAGGATTACATTTTATATTTAGTTGTTATATATCCCTTAATTTGGAACAGTTACTCAGTCTTTGTTTTTCATGACCTTAACGTTTTTGAAGAGTATGGGTCCAGTGTTTTATAAAATGTCCTTCGGTTTGGATTTGTCTGACCTCATGAATAGATTCAGATTATGCATTTTGGGCAGGAATACCACAGAAGTGATGTTGTGTCCTCAGTGCATTGTATCAGGAGGTGCATGACATCTGTTTAACACATAATTAGGTGTTAATTTCAGGCATTTCTTTCAACCCACATACATTGAGTGTTACATAGTGTTTTTGTTTCTAGTGAGATTGAATTTTCGGTTAATTGGTCATTTGTATTATTTTGTAAATACCTTTACTGAATAATCTGAGGGATCGATTTTGTTGTTTTATCAATTCTAATATTCTAGTTTGTTTTTTTTTTATTCTAAGAGCTCTTTATATATTAATGGTATTAATTCTTTGGCATTTATGTTGGAAATATTTCCCCTAGTTTGTTTGCTCTTTAATTTTTATGACTTTATTTTTTGATCTCTTGAAGTTCAAATTTTTATGTAAACATAAGTATTTTCCCATATGGTTTTCAAACTTTGGTATCATGCTTAGAAAAGCCTTTCTTCTAAGATTACAGAAATATTTTTTCTACTACATACTGATTTCCTTTTTGTTTCCCAAATAGGTACGTTTGCAGGAGCACATGGGAGAAAAGTATATGACTTACAGTGTAAAAGCTCGCCAGTTGAAATTTTTTGAAGAAAATGTTAATTTTTGAGAATTCTAATTTGCTGCCAGAACTAAAGACCTATATTCGAAGGTTTTTGGCTTACACAGAAACGAACCTATAATGATGACTGGAGACCATTCACCATCCTTTTAACTCTTTTCAGTTTTTTTTACTGGGAAAAGAAGGAACAGAACAGACTAACATGAAGCAAGTTCACAAAAGAAAGAAAAAGCCTTTGGCACTATCTTATTCTCTGTATGAGGAAAAATCTAAGACTTTGTTTACTGTTTACTGAGCCTTAAACCACCAACTTTATATCTAGAATTTATTTTTTTAAGGTACTAATTAGCTTGAATATAGGGCTATATAATATTGGATTGGAAGTTTTGTATTATACTATAGTGATAAAAGCACTAGGAGAAATAAATGACATAATATGTCCAGTAATACTACTTGTCATTGTTAATAACCTTAGGTAGTAGTTAATAAATTATTTTTTTAAAAAGTCAATTCACTTTTCTGGGAGTAGATTCAAAAAATATGAAGTTGTATCTAGTACTTGAGCAATTGAATTCCTTCTTTACATACTGATGGGCATTTAATGTTTTATTTTCATGTAAGATACACTACATTTAGAGTATTCAAGAATTGAAACTAAGAGATATTTTGGCTTTGTAAATCAATGTTTTTACATGCTGGTTTTTTAGATTTACTTTTCCATCAGTGAAAACATTTCTAATTTCTTTTACAGTTAAGCAATCTGTCAGTAGAGTCCAACTCCTTTTAGTTATGTTGGACATATTTGTCTCCTGAAGCTTGGCTTCTTATATATCAGGATATTGGTTGTCTTCCCATGTTTTAAATGTATGCTTATATATCATATATTTTATTTTATTAGTTGTTCAATAAGGGGTAATGCCCACCTAGGAAATAATTTTTATAAAATAAAAGTCTTGATTATTAAATTTTCACTTTTGTATTCAAGGGACTCTACAAATAAATTCTGCTCCATAAATGCTTTTCATCTAGAATTAAAAATTTATCTTTGAAAATACACACACACACACACACACACACACACACACACACACGCAAAATACTCTAATGCAATGTTCCCTTTCTAAGTCAATTAACAGACCTTTATTTTACTGTTTGCCAGGAGCTGGGGATATAATGAATACAATATTTCCTGCCCTTATAAGGCTCATTGCTTGGTTGTTAAGACCTCTTATGTTTACTTTGAAGCATTTGTTAGAACTCCACTACAAAATCCTACTGCCCAGTTAGGGGCAAATCTTCAGCAAACTGTTGGGTCTTCCTGAGCTAGTCACCATTTCTCGCATGTTTCAGAAATCTACATCTTCCTGGAAAGTCATTTATTTTACTTAAGTTTCCTAACTTATTAAGTTGTACATATTATTTTCTTAGAATTAAAAAATCTCCCTCATACTTTATTCCTATTCTATATATTTTTAAATATTTGTTCAGTTTTTATCCTACTATCCTGGCTGTTATGTGGTTCTCTTTTCTTGAATACCTAATCATTTTTCGTATTTAATTATAAAACACATTTTTTAAGACCTAGGAATTTTCTTCTCAAGATACTTTTGGCCACATTTCAGACTTTGATATGATACTCTTTTTGACATTAGTTTCTAAAGTCAATAATTCTGGTTTTGATTTTCTTTTTTGTTTCTTAATTTCCATATATTTAGAAAGCCAAGGAAATTGTCTCCTTGCTCCAGCTATATTGCAGTGTTGTTACTGAATATGATCTGCACAACCTGTTTCTTAGAACTGTTTTTCCATGTTGGTCAGTACATGACCCATTATTGGAATATCCAATATGGGCATTCAATACAGGTGAATTGTTATGCACAGATCGCCTATTAAATATTATTCAAGCCTATTAATATGCACACAGAATTGCCTATTAAATATTACTCAAGCCTATTAATGACCTGATCAATAGATTCTGTGATGGAAATGTTCTGTATCTACACTCTTATATAGTAGCCACTAGTCATATATGGCCCTTGAAACGTGACTAGTTTGAGGAACTCAAATTTTTAATTTTAATTAAATGTAAATAAACATGTGACTAGTGGCACCATCTTGGACAGTGCGGCTCTGTATCACTCATTCAGTAAATACTGAACACCTATAATGTGTCACATACTCTGTAGGTACTGGGCAAACAGCAGTAAGCAAAACAAAGTACCTGTTCCCATGGAGCTTACAGTCTATGGAGGACAATTAACAAATACCTACTGTGAGATATACTAAATGTCATGAAAAATAAAGCAGGCTAAGTATATATAGAATGATGGGGCATACAACTTTATTTTTATAGTGTAGGAAATGTTCCATTATAGTGGCATGTGGGTAGAGACCTGAATCAAAACAAGGCATATGTATCTGGGGGAAAATGTTCCAAGTACAGGGAACATGTGCAAAAGTCTTCCTATCAATTGCCTGTCCACTTGATCTATCAAAATCTGAAAGACAGAGTGTTGGTCTCCTACCAAGAATGTAGCTTTGCTAGTCTTGTATCGCTAACATGTTTTTGTATTTCGTGTCCCATTCAATGCATGATTCATAATAGTGACATCTTGGCAGCTATGAAATGCCTTTCTTTGCCCCCATTTAATGCTTTCTGATATTAAATATCTGACTTTTTCACTATTACCTCTCCTTTATGCTTGCACCTGCCTCGTATTACCCTTGTCCTGTTTTTGACCTTTGGGTATCATTTTGTGAACATGAAATAACTTGAATTTTTAACCCTACTTGGGAGCTACTAACTTTTAAATCACATTTATTATACTTACTGATATATTTGGTCTTATTTCTGCCTTCTTAATTTTTCTTATTTTTGTTAAACCTTTCCTGACTTTTGCTGTATTAAGGTCTTTACTCCCTTTTTTTTTTAACTCATAATTTGTAAGTCCTACATTCTGGTATTGAGAAATAAAATATTATCTGTAATCGCCCTCCCACTCCCATCCCTCACACAAGACCATTAGAATATTTTTTTTCTCTTCGGCCTCTGGAAAATTTAAAAGAAATTTACAGCTTCTCAGGTTTTTACTTTTGTCCACACCTCAGGTAAAACATTAAGTAAATGTTTTCTGCTTAACAACAGCCTTATTTCAGTAGTACTAATATATTACTTTACCACAATTTCACATTAGTAAATTTTTTCATTAGGTGGTTGCTGTTAAGAATTTTATTAGGAACTTGAAGCTATAGAAAATAGAAATGGTGCTGACTTTCAGAACCACAAACTAAAACATTGGCTTTTATTAGTAGTCTTGCTTGCAAAACAATGAACAAAAGACTCTTTAGCCATAGACTTGCACTGAGTTTTAATTGAAAATATTAAAACAGCTTAATAATTATAAAACTTTGATAATTAAATTGTACTGTTACTTATGAGGCATATATTCATTATTTTTGTAGACCTGAAAGAAACTTTGCATACTTGTTTTTCTGTTCTCCGTTTCAGAGAAAGATTATGAAGAGAAGATCTAAAATATGTATAAATGAAAGCCCAACTGAGTTAGAAAAGAAATATGAAGAGAACAAAATCGATACACAGCTGTACCGTAAGAGCATAGGTGGTTTTTAGCTCGTGTTTTGAGTGTGAAAATGTAGCTCATCTCACACAAAACAAAAGCAGGTGCAAGAGTAAAGATGAATTATGAAAACCCCAATCAATTATTTTTAGCATGCCTCTTAATTTTTCTTTCTCCTGGTTTCTTGTCTTCTGTGCCTGAGTCTTGAACAGGTAACCACTTGAGGGGGTGCCGACGATAAATGGGCCATGGAGGAAGTGTCAGCTGGGCCAGAACACAGAAAATGCATCAATTATAGTCACTGAAGAGCATCATATATAATGCCCAGTTCCCAAATGACTACTATATTAAAGATAAAAACAACAAAACTGACATTTCCATGAAAACTGTGCCCCCTTCTCCGCAGACAAGTACTTTAAGTGATGGGAACATGCCTTACTGTTTACACAAATGGCTTTAAGAGCTAAAAGAAAGGTGAGGAGGGAGAATGTGAAGACCATAAGAAATTCCTGCTAGCTTTAAGATTATTGCTTGGAGCAGCTGCCAAAATAAATGAGTTGTATTCTTTTATGCAGCTTAGGTCGTCATCTGACACTATTTGGCATTGTAGTTTTCCATTGACAGCAAGGGGAAACATTGATGGAAAAGGAGAAAAGTTGGTGCCCGTTCTCACTAATAGGTCCGCCCAAACCAACCCAATTCAGAAAACCGAAGTTGTCACTAACATCCAGACCCCCACAAATTTCTTACCAAACACGAAAACGCAAATCCGGCCATAACTATGTAGACAGTCCACCCGAACTGTTCCGCCACGTACCCGTAAATAAATCCAACTATCTAGAAACAAAGTATATTAAACACAGTCAGACTGGAGGTGTGTGGAAGAGATCAAAAGAAAAGATAATGCAAAACCAATACTTACTGCTGAAAAAAGAATAATTCCCTGAAACATCTGTTCCGCTAGCTTCTGGCCCTTGTAATCCTAGAGGTGAAGAAGAGCAAAGCAGGAATTGGTTCTACCACCGAAGAGGTACAATTCCGGCTTTGGCCTCCCAGTTTTAGCACCGGGCACCCCCAGCATCAGGGACTTCCCCCAAGGACCTGGGCAAGGAATGAAATGCTGGGTTTCCCGGGGGGAACTGAAGCACTCTAAGGAAGCACGGACAGGGGTATCCTCGCAGAGGAAGAGAGAAGGGAACCCAGGAAGAATTCGGGGAAGAGTGTAAGGTAGCCGTCCGGGCCAGGAACCGCGATGTAGCGGGTGGGTCTCGGACCAGAGCTGCGAAGCTGCCAGACTAACGAGCAGCGTGCGAGGAGGACCTTAGGTCCGAGGTGGGCCGCACCCTCACCATTTGTGTGGGCAGCGAGCTCAGTTGCTCCAGCATGACTAGCTGAGGAGGCGGGCAGCGGAGTGCTGGAGGGGGACAGCGAGGCGAGGGCGGCCGCGACTCAGGGGCCGTAGGGGTTGAGGTCTGGTTCTTGATACAGTTTCGCGTGCCGGACGAGCCGGGGAGTACGATGGCCGCAGCCCCGGAAGCGGATGTCTCAGACAGACCTGAGCGGCCCGAAGCCCCGCCCCGCGCCCTCGCTAGGCGCCGTGCTCTTTCAGAGCCGGCAGGAACCCGGCGTACAGCCCGTGATGGCTGAGGTGATGACAGTGGCGGCCGAGTAGAGGCATCGCGACCCCGTGAAGGGTTCGCCGTAGGTGCTGTTGGGTGCTGGGAGCCGCGGCCGCGGCCCCGCTCCCCCAAACTGTCCTGGACTGCGCCTCCACGGTCTAACGGCTGTCTGCGCGCGTCCCGTCTCCATGGCGACGGGTTTAGCTCGGCGAGGACCCTGGCAGTGGGGCTGCCCCGCGGCGCCTGCTTGGCGTCACGCTCTGGCGGTTGGCTCCGCTGGCGGGTTTAGGCTTGCGGGACTGAGCGGCGGCCGGGGAGCTAGCGGGTGAGCGGGCTCGGTCCGGAGTGCAGGAAACGCGGGCGGCTCGGCGGCGGACTGGGCCCTGGGCCCTGCGGCGCGGGAGCTGAGCTGGCGGGGCGGGCCGGGGCGCGGGCGGCGGCGGCTCCTCCTCCGCCTCCTCCTCCTCCTCCTCCCGCTGCAGGTAAGGGCGGCCTTGGGGAGCGTCCGAGGGTAACCGCTTGCCCGAACCCTAACCCAGAGTTTCTTTTGACCTGGGGAAACCCCGGAACATCACATTCCCTATAACGCCTAAGCGTAACGGGGCCCTGTTGACCCCTAGAATTTAGAGGGAATTACCCCAGGCCATATCCTCAAGAGAACGGGAACCCCTTCGGAGAGGGGAGCCGGTTCTTGACGTTCCTTGCATCCGTTTGGAGAGAGCTCCCACCCCGGAGTTTCCAAACTGGCCTACCAGCATGTTCGCCGGCTTCAGTGGGCCCTCCGGGTAGAGACCGACCAAGGGTCTCTTTCTCAAGAGACCCTTTCTCAAGGCCGGTGTCTGTCTCAAACACTTAGTTTCCCCCCACCCCCACACCCGTTACTCTGAACTACGCGAGGTTGTCCAAGTTTCGGAGAGAAACCTTTCTGGGGAACCCGGGCCTTTGGGTCGCAGATGGCTCTCTGGCCTCTGCTGTGTTGTACATAATGGTTACAAACGGTGGGATTCTAGGCACTCTCAGGGCAGTTTGGTGTATGGCTGGCACTCTCATTCATGCAGTCAGCAAACGTTCACGGCATCTGTTTTTGTGGCAGGCAGTGAGCCGAGGATATGGCTGTGACCAACACCAAGCACTTGGCTTCCTAGAGCCCAGTGTGTCAAGGGAGACAGCCACAAAACCCCAAACATATATTATACCCGGATTTACTCAGAAATAGGAGACCCAGAGAGATGGGAAAATCAGGGGAGGTGCAGTTGAAGGTGGGGTTTGAGGGAAGCTCCCTTGACTTCTGAAAGCCAAGTGGGAGCTAGCCAGGTGAATTATATGTTTAGTGCCTTTCCACCTTTCAGCCTGGAAGATACTAAACACATGTTTTGTTGTTGTATGCACAAACAGACATGTCCCACTGTTAGCCCTCTAAATGTACTTCAGAGGTGGCAGTTGTAGAGACTTTATGGTATTTGAGCTATGAAGATAAAATGGGAAAGGGAAATTTCCTGTCAGGCTCCATTTGAGAAAGATCTCCATTGGAATCCAGTTATAGAATAGGTTGCAGAGCATCAGTGGAATGACCTTTCATGTGCATAGTAATGGGGGAAAGCAGAAAAGGTGAGCACAGCTGCTGAGAATGTGGATACTAGTGCAGGTAACTAGCAAGTGAAAAAAAAATAGGCTTTCCCCATAAGGTTTCTTCACCCATATTTCTGGGTGTACCTGGCCTGGGTGAGTGTGTGTGCTTGTCCTTTGTGAGCAAATTGGGATTGTGAAGGTTTTAAAGTTTCTAGATAAAAAATACTAATTTTCATAGTGAACAATTTGAATATTGCTGATTAAATTGTACACTGTTGTGTATTCTTACAAAAGTATAAGCTACTATTATACATACCAGGGTCTACATGCAGTTTTGTTTTGTGAATTCTAAGCAGATTGACGAATCTGTTACCAGGAATAGCACAATGATTCAGACATACTCCGTAATAACTGGTATTTGCATATAGATAACTGTGAAGGACTTTTAGGAGCAAGTTTCTGCCATGCTAATCTACTTAAGTACATCAAACACCTGCTAGGATTGTGTTTTCTTGTGTGTGTGTGTCTAGCTAACCAGAATAGCACAAATACATGTGCCTCTAGGTGAACATACTACCTTTAAGTAACTGGACATTGTTGAGCTAAAACCCTGTCCATTGTACCATTGACTAAATGAGATTTATTGAATGAGGTGTTTTTCTTGTGTTGCTGGAAGTTGGCTCCAAGCGGGCAGATGTTAGAGCTTTGAGCGCTCCCAGTCTGCCAGCTTCTATGGGTAAGGCTCAGCCCACAATGTGATAGAAGCACATGGCTTATGTTATATAATGATATGTAATCTTTAGAGAGGAAGTTCATTGGTATAATGTACTTTACATATACTGCTCTAGAAGGAGAGTGGGGAGAGAGAGAGAGAATTTTAGATTGTTCTTTGGGAGTCTGAATTATTTTCTCCCAAATCTGGCCTGTGATCCCCATTGTTTTAAACAGCCCTTCAATGTATTTCTCCTCTTTTCAAAGGCCTTGAGAAATCAAGTGCTTGATATGCACACACTTTACTTAAGATGAAATTAATTCAAACTTATTTTGATTTTAGAAATATGTTGTGTTTGAAAATGCTTTGTAAAATTAATAGCCTTTTGTGTTTGGTACTCCCACGGAAGAAGATGAAGTAGAAAAGGATAAATGTCTCAAATGTAGGATCACAATATTCTGGTTGTTTAAAATCTGTTTTTAAGGAAACATTACCCAGAGGTGGTTGTAGAAATCTAATCGTTTAATTTAGTTCCCCCTACAGTTTTGTTTCCATTGAATTATTTGTTTTGAAAGTGAAGGTATCAGATGAGCTGAGGAGCATGAGCCACAGGCAGAGTGACAGTATTAAACACAGCTTTCTTAAGAGATGGGTAATTAACCAATAGAGATGAAGTCCCAGAAAGAAGCTCCCCCTTTTTTTTTTTAGCAGATTTTAATTTTTTGAGAATAGCACCCTAAATTTTTTATAACAAAATTGGATTTTGTGAATTTTTGTAATTATGTTTTTCTGCTGTAGTTTTTTTTCTGCTATGGTTTTAAGTGAATGTGGAAAATGTTCTCCCCCCCCCCCCTTTCTTCCAATTAAAGGTGAATGGGATACAACTCGGAACAGGGATATTTTGTACCAATGAAGTTGACCTTAGGTTACTTGATTATAGACAACTGAGTCCCTGTCTTAACAAGGAATTTTAAGTAGAAATTCAGAAAACATTTCCAGGTATTCCTCTTGGGCGAATTTCTTTTGCTTTTAATCTAGTGACATATAATGTACAAGGCTATCTATTTTTCCAAGTTATTTAGAAGTATTATCACTACCATAAAAAAATTCAGATCCCAAATTGGGTTCTTGGAAACTGTTCACTCAAAATGAGTTTCTGGCAGAAAGTATGCACTTCTTGTTTCTACCTGAATAAAAACATCAGGCATTTTAATGGTCATTCTCATATACCTACTGACGTTGGGGGCTTGTTTTTGTTTTGTAGGGTTAATAACTAATGTTTATGTAAGACAGAAGAGAAAGATGTCATTCCGTAAAGGTATGCTCTTTCTACAAGTTACATTGTTTTTATTACTTGTCGAAAGGTAAAGAGATGTAATGCAGGCTTTTCCCCTCTATGTTTCAGTAAACATCGTCATCCTGGTCCTGGCTGTTGCTCTCTTCTTACTGGTTTTACACCATAACTTCCTCGGCCTGAGCAGTTTGCTAACGAATGAGGTTTCAGGTATGGGAACCCTAACTGATGCATGGGCATCTGTTGAGGACCTCGAGTTCCCTGTGTCCCACATCCTAAGTTACATTACTAGGTTAAAGGAAAAGAAAGCTTGCTTTTTGCCCTTACATAAGCTGTGAAAGATCCTTGGATAAGGCATGGTGGTACTCCCTATGCTCTTGGAGTCCCCCACCTCATCTCCCTGCTGGGCAGTTGTTTGCTAAGGGTTTGATTTGACCGATGATCTCACTACTACAAATCAGAGTACTTAGAGGAGCCTCTGTGGGATGCTGCTATCTGCTTACATTTCAGCAGAGCTGGGCTTCAGAAAGTGGGGACAGTTCAGTGTCACTGGTGTTTGATGCCTGCAGTGTTCACTAGAGTGTCAATCTGGTTACTTTCCTTCACCTTGTATTTGCATGTAACCTGTGGAACTGTTATCAGCAGGACTCTAGTAGTAAAACAAAACCATAAAGCCTTGTCAACAACTTTTTTTTAAATCACTTTATTATGTAATTCCATGGCAGTTATTTAAATTTATTCGTTCATACTGCTCTGCCTTATTATTGAGTGATATTTGAGGCTTCAGAGTGTTTGTCAAAAATAATTTTTGGATTGCCATCCATCGTAGTTGACCAGAGCAAGAAAAGACTAATAACTTTAACTTTCCCTGAGTACTCTGATAGCATGTTTTATAACTGTGTATATACGAGGTGTGACAACTAAGTTCATGAACTCATCCTAGAAAAAGTGCTACATACCTCATTGTTGAATATCACTACAGTCACCTTTGAAGTACTCCTCTTAGGAAGCTGTGCACCGACACCAGCACCTAGTCCACCCTTCAAAGCAATTCTGGAACTCTTTTTCTGGAACGGCGATCAGAGCTGTCATCGTATTACCCTTGATGTCCTGAATGTTATGAAAATATCTTCCTTTAAATATTTCCTTTATCTTTGGGTAAAGAAAGAAGTCATTGGGGGCCAGTTCTGTTGAGTAGGGACGGTGTTCCAATACAGCTATTTGTTTACTGGCCAAAAACTCCCTCACAGACAGTGCCAGTTGAGCTGGTGCATTGTTGCGATGCAAGAGCCATGAATTGGTGAAAAGTTCAGGTCATCTAACTTTTTCATGCAACTGTTTGTCCAATTGGTACAAATTCATAATGAATAATCCCTCTGATATCAGAAATGGTTAGCAACATCCTTGCTACAAGTTCACGAACTTAATTGTCAGTTCTCTTACATGTGTGTATTTATACATATACATACGGGTCTGGCAATTAAGTTCACAAATGTGCTGTCGTGCGCTTACATTGACAGCACTGTACAAACAGCTTGGTAAGGTTTCATAACCTTGGTATATCCGTGTCTCACAGCTGTGTTTGTGTCGACGTGTGGCAGTGTCGTGCTGAGTGGCGTTCATTATGTTGCATGTTTTTGTGTGCCGTTGTGAGAATGCCTGAGCTTGAATTAAAGCAACGAAAAACATTAAATTTCTTGTTAAACTTGGCAAGAGTGGAAGTGAAATGAGGGACATGCTAGTCCAAGTTTATGGGGATAATGCCATGAAGGAAACGGCAGTGTACAAATGGATTAAATGTTTTTCTGAGGGGAGGGAACACGTCACTGATGAAGAGAGGTCAGGGTGGCCAGTAACGAGCAGACCTGACGAAAACATTGCAAAAATTTGTCATCAGAATGGTTGGCTGACCAAGTAAACATCGATAGAAAAACAGGAAAATCTTAACTGAAAATCTTGGCATGAGAAATGTGTGTGCAAAAATGGTCCCAAAGGAGCTCACTGATGAACAATAACAAAGGAGAGTCGAAGTTTGCCAAGACCTTTTGGAGATGCAAGACAATGTTTTGGGCTGAGTTATCACTGGTGATGAAACATGGGTGTACCAGTACAATCCTGAAACAAAGCATCAAAGTGCACAATGGAAGTCAGTCAATTCTCCATGACCAAAAAAGTTCCGTCAG